GAGCTTGGAAAGTTTCTACTGAAGAAGGATATTCTCTTGTCTCGACTTACAACCTACGATGAGTCCCCAGAGACATTTTCAGTTTGGAAAGCTGGCTTCATTAGTGTCATGCATGAGTTAGAAGTGTCCCCAGCTCAGGAACTTGATCTCCTTGTCAAGTGGTTAGGACCAGAGACTTCAAAACAGGCTGCAAGTATCCATGCGTCTAATGTCAGCAATCCGGAACGGGGTCTACGGTTGCTATGGGAAAGACTAAATCAACGATATGGAGCGCCGGAGATGATTGAAAGCTCCCTGAAGCAAAGGTTCCCCAGAATAACAATGAAAGACTCTAAGAAACTGTATGACCTATCTGACCTGTTGTCTGAAGTAGAATCAGCAAAAGAAAATGAATCTTTGAAATCTGTGTTTGCTAGTTTTGACTTTTCTTCTTGAGAGGGCGCATAGTAGAAAAGCTCCCATATGGCTTTACAGGAGAATTGAGAACACATGCTTCTAAACACAATGACATATATCAGGTTCCATTTCCTCCTTTTGGTTAATTCATACAATGTGTGCGGGACATGGGTCATATCAGGAATGACCCCAGTTTCATGTATGAATCACAGAATAAAACCCCGGAGAAGATCGACAAATCTCCAACTATGCATCCCAAGACAAGAGTCTTCGCAAAGAAAACCGAAGTAGATAGAACTGGTAGGAATGAACAGTCTTCTAATGTGCAGTTGTGTCCCCTACATAAAGGTGGACATACACTAAACCAGTGCAACGGGTTCCGTACCAAGTCATATGAGGAACGGAAGGAGTTTTTGAGGAAGAAGTGTGATATATGTGGGTACAGACACCCAACGTTTCTACATATGGACAAATCGGGACCTACTGAACCAGTGGCGAGTAAGTGTACTCAAATATGTGGACAGGACAAATCATGGAAAGGTAAATCATGTGCTGAAATGGTGCTAGTGAAGGTTTATTCAAAGGACAATCCTCGATTGGCGGTGAAGTTATATGCCATTCTGGATGATCAGAGCAACGCATCCCTCGCTCGCTCAGAACTGTTTGACATTTTGGCAGTTGGTGGCGACCGTGCGCCATATACCATTTCTTCATGTACCGGAGTAAAAGGGTCAACCGGGAGGAAAGCGACTGGTCTCGTAGTGGAATCTTTTGATACGAGTCACAAACTTGAACTATCCAACCTGATCGAGTGTAATCAGGTGCCAGATGTTTTCATACCACCAATGGACAATGATGCAAGTATTCTTTTGCTTCTTGGTAGAGATGTGATTGAAGCACATCATGTGTTGGATCCGAGAATTGGACCTACAGGATCTCCATATGCCCAGAGACTGCCTCTAGGGTGGACAATAATTGGAGAGATTTGCCTCGGAAAGATTCACAAGCCTGACCTTGTGAAAGTGAATAAGACTTACCTATCCAAAGATGGACAGCCGTCATTGTTTAAGACGTGCCCGAACTATCTACATGTAGATGAGGCAGATCCTATCTTTGCCTTGTCAAAACATGATGACAAACCAGGCCTGTCCGTTGAAGATAGACAGTTTATTGAGATTATGGACAAGGAGATGTTATTTGGACCAGATGGACAATGGGTAGCACCCTTCCCTTCAAACAGGACAGGCACACTCTTCCTGACAACAGGTCACAGGCATTGAAGAGGGCGATTGCCTTAGATAAAGGACTGAAACGTGATCACACAAAGAAGAGACACTTTGTGGAATTCATGCAGAAAATTCTGGACTCTAACCATGCAGAGGTTGCCCCTCCCTTTAAAGGCAGGGAAGAACATTGGTACTTACCTATATTTGGGGTTTACCATCCTAAGAAGACGGACCAGCTGAGAGCTGTCTTTGATTCTTCAGCAGAATTTGATAGCATATCTTTGAATGACGTTATGCTTCAAAGACCGGACCTCAATAACAGTTTGCTTGGCGTTCTACTGCATTTCAGGAAAGAAGCAATAGCAGTGATGGCAGACATTCAGAGTATGTTTCACTGCTTCCAGGTGAGAGAGGACCATAGAAATTTCCTTAGATTCCTATGGTACAAAGACAATGACCCTTTGAAGAATCTCGGTGAATACTGGATGAGAGTACACGTTTTGGGCAACAAGCCTTCACCTGCGGTTGCAACCTATGGGTTGAATCGAGCAACACAAAGGGGCGAAGCAGTTTTGGCAGCAACACATGCACTTTCATAGAGGAGAACATTTATGTTGATGATGGGCTGACATCATGCGCATCAGTTTCACAAGCAGTTGATCTTTGAAGAGAACACAGGATACACTTGAGTGCAATGGCAAACTCCAGACTCTACAAGGTTGTGTCAAATAGTGCTGCGGTGATGCAACCTTCCCCAGAAAAGGATCAAGCTAAGGATCTCAAGGACTTGATCTGAATGTAAATCCCTTCCCCGTACAGAGAAGCTTGGGCATGTGGTGGAATATTGAAACTGACACGTTCACTTTCTGTACATGCATAGACGAAAAACCTTACACACGTCGTGGCATATTATCGACGATAAACAGTATCTACGATCCTATGGGAGCAGTCGCCCCAGTGGTTGTGCAAGGAAAGATTACCCTTAATGATCTGATGTTGGACAAAGTTGATTGTGACGAGCCATTGGAGGAAGATAAACGAGGGACAATGGAGGGACTCTCTGCAGTCTTTGTCAAATGTACATATTCCAAGGATGTTTGTACCTATATTATTTCAGGAATCTACAAACAAGGAGATTCACATTTTTCTGATGCTTCAGAACAAGCCATTGCCTCGTCAGCTTACCTCAAGACGACGGACGATCAAAGACAGTGTCATTTTGGATTCATCATAGGAAAGGCGAAGCTTGCACCAAAACACGGACACAATATTCCTCGTTTAGAGTTGTGTGGAGCAGGACTGGCAACAGAAATTGCTGCTCTCATAATGGTCACTTGAAAGTACCTATGGACATTATGTATTTTCATACAGACAGCAGAATAGTGCTGGGGTACCTCAAGAACACAACTAAGAGATTTTCTGTATATGTATCAAATAGAATACAGAAAATCAGGAATGTATCCAAACCAGAACCATGGAGTTACATCGCTACAGGTAGAAACCCTGCAGATGCGGCCACTAGACCAGTGTCTGCCATGAAGATGGGTCAAAGCAGTTGGCTCGTGGCCCATCAGCTCCGAACTTGACGGAGAAACTATACGGACTGTGCGGAATACTCGGACGTCAGCTTGGAAGAATGTGAGACTTCAATCTGTTCTAAAGTGAAGGAAAAAGACTGGACTGGGTTCTGAGAGATTTGAACGATTCTCAGATTGGAAAAGACTGGTCGCAGCAGTTGCAGTACTCAAGGATTTCACAAAGTCATATCATGCAAAGAACATGGACTCTTTCAAACCAGACAAGTCTGAACCCATCAGTGTAGATAGTCACACAGTGGCTGAGAAACTCATCATCAGGACTGTTCAGGATGAACACTTCAGTGAAGAGATAAGATGTATTCAGACCGGGACTCCCTTACACAAGGATAGTAAGTTACTGCCTCTCAATCCAGTCATTGATGAAAATGGCATGTTACGTGTGGGAGGTAGACTCAAGAATGCACCAATTAACACTAATCAGAGGACTCCACTTATCATACCCAGAAAGCACCACATCGCAGTTCTCTTGGTAAGGTATCACCATGAATGTGTGAAACATCAGGGACGTTTATTCACAGACGGGGCCGTGAGCAGCAGCGGGATATTGGATAATCGGCGGAAAGAGACTGGTGTCTGCCATCATTCACAGATGTGTGAAATGTAGGACATTACGAGGAAAGTTCGAAACTAAAAAAATGGCAGACCTTCCCATTGATCGGTTAACTCCGTCACCTCCATTCACGTTTGGACCATGGACTGTAGCTTCAAGGAAAACAAGAGGTGAAATAGCTCACAGTAAGAGGTGGGGATTGCTTTTCACATGTTTGGTTTGTAGAGCCATTCATATTGAGGTGATCGAAGAGATGAGCTCTTCATCATTCATTAACGCCTTGCGCCGTTTTATTTCCATTCATGGAAATGTGCAGGAATTCCGTTCAGACCGCGGAACAAACTTTGTTGGATCTTCAGAAAGTCTTGGATTTCATGCTATATGTGTGGAGGATGTGAAAATTGAAACGTTCTTATCGAACAATCGAACCAAATGGGCGGCGTTTGGGAGAGAATGATAGGGATTGTGCGGAGAATTCTGGACAGTATGTTGTCTGATGTGTCAACCAGGAAGTTCACACATGAAGTTCTGACCACTCTTCTAGCAGAGGTTTGTACGATTGTGAACGGCAGGCCAATTGTACCCGTGTCGACGGATCCAGAGGAACCATTCGTTCGTTCTCCCCTCTAATTTGTTGACACAGAAATCCAACCATGTGGTGGAATGGGACAGAGTAGACGCTAATATTACTGATTTGTACAAGTCAGGATGGAAACAAGTTCATGCCTTGGCTGACACATTCTGGCGTCGCTGGAGACAGGAATACCAACACACACCTCACAGTTAGGATAAAATGGCAGATCGATCAACCAAACATTGAAATTGGTGATTTTGTTATGATGAAGGACAAGGATGTTCACAGGAACGACTGGCCTTTGGCGTTGTTGTAGATGCTCTCAAGTGCAGAGATGGGAAGGTCAGAAAATGTATTCTCAAGGTTATTCGTGTTGGAAAGACTGTTCACTAGACACGTCCAGTGACCGAGTTGGTTCTGCTGCTAGCAGCGGAAAGTTCTAAGGACTACTTGAATCTTGAACAGACAATCTTATATTGCATTGTGAACTCTTACTCATAGACTAACGCTCAGACTTCCTTCTTTATATTTGTATGTGGACTTAATTGATGAATGTTGTGTTTAAACCTAGAATTTAGAATCTTTTATTAGATTCCGGTTAAGATTTACATCTCTCGAGTTTGTAATATCTTTGTAAATATTCGGGGTAGTGTTCTGTTTCATGTGCGAAACAGCTCTTTATTTCTTACCCATCTATAGACTAAACCTAGTCTGGTGGTTTATTTTCTTGCGTAATTTATATAAATGACCAGTCTAAAAACTATTATCCGGTTTGGACCAGTTTGCAGGTTTCAGGCAGCATGGCCGAATATTCAGGAATCATCATTTTGAGTAATATAGGAGTAACACAACAACGAGCGAGTATGTATTAAGTCTTTTATTTTGTATTTCATGTAAATCTAGATGCATAAGTATCAGTTGAGGCATGTTAAGCGATTATAAGTTTGTTATTGTAATCTAAGAAGTAGCGCTGTTCAGCTTTCGATCAGGCATAATTCACGTACAGCACTTTATGGCGTATATTGCCTTAGACTTCTATGACAGCATGTGATATTTTAAGTCCTTTATGATTTAGGTGTTGTAGAAACACAGTTTGCACTCTTGTTAAATGCGTTAGTCATTTAGGTGTAAGTTGCCAAACTTCCATGTTCAAGTTGATCTATTGAAGGCTCATAAAATAATGTGCAGTTTACATGCAGAATAAGCAGTTGCTTCCCTTTAACTGTTAATCTATCTGAAATTTATAGAGCTTTGTAGCCTACTTCAGTGTGCATTTAATTATTTAATATTTGGGAAATTGTGTTGTTTTCTGACATCATATTGATTGTGGCAGAATATTCAGGATAATACTTGGTGTAGGTACTGGGTGGACTTTAAGGAATATTTGAGGACATATACTATTGTCAATGTATTTTGTAGTTGCATGTCCAGTTTAGGTTATCATTGTGACAGTTTTGGATACCATATTTAGGCAAACCTAGGCTAATGACTTAGTGCTATGGAATGTAATACTTACCATATTCAGGTCAGTTTAGACTAATTTGGCCTTTCGTACTTTCTTCAGTTTTGTACCCTCAACCTTCACCACCTCCTCCACCTACCTTTTAACATCTTGCAAATAAAAGGGTTCGCTATCGACAATAATGTTATCATCAGGACTTCAGTATGAAATAGCACGTTTGTATTTTCCAGAACGTTCCCAGTCTTGGAATGTCTTTTATAATCTACTTACACCCACACACGTCCATGCACGCACACACGCACGCACACACACACACACACACACACACACACACACACACACACACACACACACACAAACACACATAATGCTTGCTAGAATGAGTTACTTACATCAGTGGCGAACTTCATCCCAGTGCCAAGTGTGTCGATATGAAACGTTCCGATTCGTTTGCAGTTCCACTTATATGAGTAACAATCTTCCGCTCTACCAAACTGATGTGGCTTCGTCTTGTTCCCGCTGGTGAAGGTAGTGTCAGCTCTCCCAACAGTCATTGTCTAAAGCATAGAAATGTACCATCTTTCCAGGAACTTAAAATCACACCAGAAGAACACAACATAACATAGCAGATTTTATTTTTTATAATTTTTAAGTGTCGAAGAGAATTAATTAGTCTCACTTACCATTCAACTTTATGTATTGTAATTGTTTTAGGGGAAATGGGGAGCTGAAGTTAAAAGAAAAAAAAAAAGTGTATAACGGAAACATATCTTTAATAATAATAATATAACTTTGATCTGGTCTTACATTAATGTTTGGGGCGGGGGGGTAGCCTTGTGGTTAAAACGTTCGCTCGTCATACCAAAGACACGGGTTCGAGTCCCTACATGGGTACAATGTGTGAAGCCCATTTCTGGTTTCCCCGTGATATTGTTGGAATATTGCTAAAGGTGGCGTAAAACTAAACTCACTCACTCTTAGATTAATTTAAGTATGAATAAGATGTGGTCACCCTACTTATGCAAGGAGGTAAATTCACTGGTGCTGAATGTCTCACATACTTACGAGTTTTGTGAACCGAGTACATTCCTGACAAGCCCCGTTCACAATCAGCACATATGATATGTTTCTGGAACGCTGATAAGTTACTCAATAACTGGGCTGGGACATTATCATTCCTGAATAGGTGGTCATAACTGCGGGTTATTTAAACGCATTTGAAAAACACTTAGCTGCGAGTTTCTGCTGATCAGACACACATTGGTGTTAGCAAGGCCTTTTTCTAACTTGAACAGCTGAAAGTTTACACATAACAAAGCTTCTTCGCACGATACAGATACTTTGCCTTTTAAAGGTAGTCTTTGGATCACCTGTTTCACTTATCATAGACAATGTAAACTGTCCTTCTTTCACTACACCTGCCATACTCACATCACAGAAATGTAAATTGAAATGTGTACTTACCGATGGTATAATTCTGATCTTCTGATACACTGTTACTCCATCTCTGCCAACTCCACCAGCTATTAAATATGGCTTTTCATTTCCACAGTAACCGTTCGATCTTTTAGGATAGTTTCCAATGTTTTCATTTGGCAGTGTGACATACTCCAGCTGGTGTGTGTCATTCATCAGGCAGAACACCTTCACTGACATTCCGTTGAACTGAGGAGCTGTGGGCATGATGTTGTACGCTCCACTTTGAGCATCTGGATTCCTTTTCCTGATATCAGCACATGACCTAGGATCTGTAAATTTGCCAAGATTAAAACAACTCTTTATGTAAAGATATTGGACACCGTCAAATAGGTTCAAAGACAAACCTTTGAATTTGAGCAGGACATAACAGTTTATCCAATGACCTTGGAAGAATAACAATAAAAGCGACCAAAATCATCTTAATTAGTACAGGTACTAAAGAGTATGTTGATTCGTCTCCCATGTCTGCCAATGGTCTTCGCTGCTGTTGCCGTCCTGAAGCGATCTAAAACACGTCTTTATTAAACATTTCAAACGTTAGATACTTCATTCACGTTTGTTTTCAAAGTGTTTCATTACAATGTTGCACGGTATCAGGAATACCATTATTAAGCGTCTATGAACACCATGAAACCGAAACAGTATTGATACATGGTGATGTACTTTATTGCAAACAATGTTATTATTGCATGAGATTGTTTCTGTTAAAACTCCACTGTGAGTGGGCTGATCTCAGAGTGAGTGAATTAGTTAATATTAGACGTCACATCGGCAATATCTCAGCCATATCATGACGAAAACAATTTATACAATATAAAGAGAAAACGTTTAAAGATTAAAACCTGTCGACGATGGACCGTAAAATACTAGAGAAGCACAGATATGAATAAAACTAGCGAGCAAAGCTAAAACATTTCAATTAAAGAGGACAATACAGTATAAAACATGGGCTATAGATCGCCAACAACTAAAGGTAGATCACCATACTAGCACTACAAAAATAAGTTGGTTTCCGGAACACTGAAACTGAGAAGAAACGACATGGAAACCACCATTTCCAGTTGGTTTCTTATAGTTTCATTGTTGTTTCCATGAAAACTGAAACTGAATTTTGCACCATTTCCGGATGGTTTCCAGTGCGATTCATTACTAACTCCTCCAAGCTGGATCCAGCTGGTTTCCGTGTTTTCGTTTATAGTAGGTTTCCAACCTGGTTTCCGTGTTTTCGGTTATTGTAGGTTTCAACCTGGTTTCCGTGTTTCCGTTTATTGTAGTTTTCAAACTGGTTTCCATGAGGACTTACATTACTTTTGCTACCTGCATGGACCCTAGCTGGATTTATACCATCCGTTCAGCCGCTGGTGATTTTAGGAAAATGTAGCCGGCAGTTAAAAGAACAAGATACTACGTTTAAAATTTGGTAAATTTACATTTTACTTGGAAAGTTTTGGGACTTACGTACCCTCTCAAGAGGACAATAATTTTACGGTACTTTAACCTTCTTTGAGGGTACCGCCACTAACAATCTAACTTACTAATCTAAATTACCAATCTTTAAAATATGTCTATTTACAAAACACATTAATCAGATTTCATCAAACAAATCAATTTCTTTAAAAAACCAATAATTAAATGATAATTAACATAGGTAAAAAGATCCTTCATTGTTTTACATTCAAATATTTATCCCTTATGATTGAGATTCAACACAGTCAAGCAGGACATGCTTGACCATGGTTCTCTCATCACAAGGGATACAAAACGGAGGATCTTCACCTTTAATAGGTATTTGTGTGTATAACGCGTATGGTCAATGCGACATCGTCGCATAATGACCTCCCCAAATCTGGACTGACAACCAAGTAGGTGTAACCGATATAAGGTTTTATTTCATGTAATTTATTAATACCTGCTTGGTGTCCACTTCTTCTGCATCAGATCACGGATGTAAGTTCTAATGCTAGTTTTGTAATCAGAATATGAAATAAGAAGTGGTGTCACAGATTTATTGAGTGCTGACTTAACAGCAAGATAAGCTAGTGTATTCCCAGAAATGCCAACGTGGCTGGGTAACCAAAAAAATACGACGTCGCATTGGCCAGTAGCAAGCTCATTATACAATAATTTCTACTAAAAGTGGATGTTTACAAGAAAGATTTTTAATAGCCTGAAGATACGAAAGAGAATAGGAAAAGATGATATCGATGTATTGTTTATATTTACGTTGTTTATTAATATATTTAAGAGCTGTTAATATGGTGTGAGCTTCTGCTGTGAAAATAGAGCTGTTATTTGGTAGTCGAGAAGATATTGTTCGGGATCCAATGACAGTGGCACAATCAACTTTGCCACCATCCTTGGACCCATATGTAAATAAGGATTTGTATGTATTATATTTATTTTTAATTGATTATATTCTTGTTTATATTGTAATTCATTAGTTTCTGCTTTCTTAAACTTAGTCAGTGTGATGTCAACTTGTGGTCTCACTAATTGCCAAGGAGGAGAAGAAAGAAAGACGAGAAGAAGATATATTTTCCAGCCCAATGCTGGCAGCAGAAATGAATGGTTTAATTCTGTGCCCAAGAGGCGGAACAAGAGACGACTTTTGTTGTACATATCCTCATAAAGAGGATTGAAGACACAGTTAAATGCAGGGTTAGACTCGTTAGAATATAGTTTGGTAATATATTGTAAAGATAATTTAAGACAGCGTTGGGAAAGAGAAGGCTCATCTGCCTCGACATAGAGACTATCAACTGGAGAAGTTCTAAATGATCCAAGACAAAGTCTTAGACCTTGGTGGTGAACAGAATCAAGTAGCTGAAGGTGGTTTCTGCAGGCTCCGCCATATACGATCGAGCCATAATCAAGTTTAGATCTGTATAAGTGAAGGAGGTTAGTTGGATCCCTCCACACTTTGAATTTGGGGAACAACCTTTAACAAATCGAGTGCCTTCAGGCATTTGGCTTTAAGTGATTTAATATGCGGCAAAAAGGTTAAATGGGAGTCAAAAAATTAGACCCAAGAACTTGGCCTCCTTGACAACTTTTGATGGAGTGCCATTTAAAGATAGTTCTGGGTCTTTATGCGGCTTATATTTTCTAAAAAAGTATAGACAATTAGTTTTGATTTAGAAAATTTAAAGCCGTTTCAAGACACCATTTATTTATTTCATTTAAACACAACTGCAATTGCCGTTCAATAGTATGCATATTTTACCACGACAAGAAATATTAAAATCATCCACAAAAAGTGATCCATCAATTGAATCGTTTAAAACCTTTGATAAACTGTTTATCTTGATACTAAACAATGTGACAGACAAAATACTGCCTTGAGGGACACCCTGATCCTGATTGTAATGGTCAGACACGGGTGGAACCCACTCGACATTTAAAAAGTTGATATAAATTGAGGCAAACGGCCTCGTAATCCAAAGTCATCTAAATCTTTAAAATCCCATGTTTCCATGTCGTGTCGTATGCTTTTTCTAAATCGAAAAAAGATCGACACTGCATGTTGTTAATTAATTATGACATTTTTCACAAAAGACTCTAAACGTACTAAATGATCGATGGTACTACGGTTTTTACGGGAAACCACATTGTATGTTCGTTATAAGGTTATTGGTTTCAAGTACCAAACAAGTCGATTGTTGATCATACGTTCCATGGTTTTGCAAACGCAGCTAGTCAGTGAAATTGGTCTATAATTAGAGGGATCAGTATGATCACGTCCAGGTTTAGGTATGGAACAATAATAACATCCCACCACGACAAAGGAAAATTTCCAGATGTCCAAATGTCATCAAAAATATGTAAGAGCGTCTCTAAACATGATTCAGGAAGTGCTTCCAGGAGTTGATAATGTATGTTATCAGCCCCCTGAAGCAGTATCATGAGCCTGATCAAGAGCAGTATGTAGCCCATGTATCGAAAAGGTTTCATTGTAGTCTTCCCATTATCTGAATTGAAATTAAGAGATTTCTTTTTGCTGTTTTGATATTTTGGAATTCAGGTACATAATTAGATGAGGAAGAATGTTTGGCCAACGTCTCACCAAGTTTATTTGTAAAATCTGATTTATCAGTCAATAACTGATTCCCATCTGTGAGATGGTGGATGCTAGATTCTCTTGATTTTCTGATCATATTCCACACCTTTGATAGAGGTGTGCGCGAATTAGTGAGTGAGTGAGTTAAGATTTTAAGTCACATCGGCAATATTTCAGCCATATCGTGACTAAAGCAAGTTATAAATATATCAACAATTTAAGTGAAATTATAAAATTCTGCCAACGAAAGACAGTAAAATAACTAGATTATCACAGATATAGATATAAAAACTAGTAACAAAATCTAAAACATTTGAACTATACAAGACGATACAATATAAAAAACAGGCTATTGATCGCAAACAACTGAAGGTAGATCACCACACTAGGGACCATGGGGACTTACAGTACATTTGCTTCCTGCATGGGCCCTAGCTGGATTTACATCATCCCTCAGCTGTTAGCAATTTAGATATATCTAGCCAGACATTAAAATTACACATATTCTACGATTAAAACCGGAAAGTTGGAAATTTACTTTGAATGTTTTGAACTTACGTATCCTCCTCAGGAGGACAATAGTTTTACAGTACTTTTAACCTCCTCGAGGATACAGCGACTAACAATCTGTGTTACTAATTCAAACTTCCAATCATAAAAATATTTACAAATCTGTTAACAAATTTAATTCTTTTAAAAATGCAATAATATAAATGAGGACTTATATTAATAAAAAGATCCTTCATAGTTCGGGATTTGAAATAGATATCCTTTGTTATGGAGTACTCAACACAGCCAAGCAAGACATGCTTGAGCGTGATTCGCTCATCACAAGGGATACAAAACGGAGGATCCTCACCTTTAATAGGTACTCATGCGTATATCTTGTGTGGCCAATACGACATCGTCGAATGATGGACTGACAACCCAAGTAAGTGTAGCCAATATAGGGTTTTATTTCATGTAATTTATTAATACCTACTTGAGTGTCCCACTTCTTCTGCATCAGATCACGGATGTAAGTTCTAATGCTAGCCTTGTAATCAAAGTATGGAATAAAGAAGTGGTGTCACAGATTTGTTGATTGCTGCCTTGGCGAGGCAAGATCAGCCACTGTGTTCCCATAAATGCCAACGTGGCTGGGTAACCAACAAAGACGATGTCGCATTGGCCAGTAGCAAGGTCATTATACAATTCAAGTGCGCGAATTAATTTTTTGATACATAGTTTCGTCAAGATTGACGTTTACTTTGGCTTGAAAGTACGCCGTGCCTTGGAGTTTAAAATTTAAAATTTGTCTAAATTGTGGACCATAGGATGGCGTCGGAAATGAGTGCTCGGCTTTCTTCCGTGCCTTCCTAGCCTGTTTGCAGTCATTGGTAAACCATGGTTTTCGTACGTGAGGAATTGCAGAGGACTTTGGGATACACTCATCAGCTATGTTATTTAGTTCATCCTGAAAACAATTTATGGCATCAGGAATGTCATTAAAAAGTTCAGGTTTCAGTTTGTCAGCACAGACAGTTACATATAAAGGCCAGTTTGCCTTTTTAAAATTCCATCTTGATGATGGAGGAATATCAGATGGATTCACGGGTGTTAGGATTGTTGGGAAATGGTCACTTCCACAGAGGTCGTCGTGGACTGACCATTCAAACTCACTCAGTAGGCTGGAGTCAGTAATAGACAAATCAAAGAGCTGAATATGTTCCTGTTCCAGGATGAAGATACGTAGTTGAACCGTCATTATAAATGCATAAATCGTTGTTTGAAATAAAATCCTCCAGTAATTTACCTTTGGTGTTTGTATTAGTGCCACCCCCAGAGCGGGTTATGGCCATTTAAATCACCCATGATTAAACAGGGTTTAGGTAGTTGATCATACAGAGCTTGCAGATCAGTTAGTTGGACAGCCGATGAAGGTGGAATACATAAAGAGCATAAAGTAAATATGCAACCTGTAATGTAAGTCGAACTGCAACGACTTGAAGATTTGTTTTAAGTGGAACACTACTATGGATGACATTGCTCCCTCACCAGGATTGATGATCCACCAGAAGCTCTATCACCCGGAGGAGAAAAACAGTGATATGCACTGAACTGACGAAAGTCAAAGTTATCTGTCTGTTTCAGATACGTTTCTTGGATGCAGAATGCTGACGGTTTAAAATCTTGATTTAATAGCTGTAAATCGTTTAAATTATTCCGGAGTCCTCTACAATTCCATTGAATTATAGGTGAAGACGTTACTTCTTCGGCGGATGAACAGGAGATCTACCCTTACCTTCCTTGAGGGTGACAAGCTATGTGTCCTACCATGACTATGGTCGGACACATCCATGTCCTCGAGAGATCCGAACTTGTTGAAAAGTTGGACCTGGTTTTCGACCCCTTCTGGGTTCTGTTACCGTGATTTTGTTTGTTCTCATTGTTTGGTTTGGATTTAGTTTTCACAGTTAAGTTCACAATTGAGTCTGATGGTTGCTTCTGGGAAGCAGATGTATTTTCGCAGAAGATGCCTTTGACTGAATGGTTTATGAAGGCGTGGTTTGAGCACTGGAAGTTACCTTTGGCGGTCTCGCTTGAATTTCAGCAGATATCAAAGTAGGAGCAGAAGTCCTAGCCCATGTATAATCGGTTTGACAACCTACTGAAGCAGATGAAACGTGTTGATTTCTGAAGCCTGAATAGAAGCAGAAACGGTTTTAGCATAGGTCGGGCCTGATTGTTCTTGTGCAAGAACAATCTGTTTTGCTTCTGAGAATGATATGTTTCGCTCATGCTTTACTCGCGAGATCTTTGACTGCAGCTTCCAGGAAGGACATTCCTTGGAAGATGAGGGATGGCAACCAGAGCAGTTGACGCAGACAGGAGTTTTATCACAAACATTGCTGTCCTCGCATGTTCCAGCACATCGTTGGCATGCAGCTGGATTGTGGCATGATTTGGACCCATGGCCATACTTCTGGCAGGTATAACACCTTAAGGGATTGGGGATATAAGTATCCACCCTTAGGTTACAATATCCTGCTTTCAGTGATTGTGGGTGAACTGGCAGACAAAAAGTGAAGAGATAGGTTTTCGTTTTGAAGGTTTCATTATTCTTTTTAGCCGTGAATCGTTTGACTTGAGTTACTCCTTGAGAGTGCAACTCAGTCACGATATCAATTTCGTACATGTCTGAAAGGCAACGTCCAATGTCACGGACGATGCCTTTGCTGCTATGCAATGTCCTGTGAGGGGACACCTCCACAGGAACATTAGCTAATGATTTGGTTTTTAACAGAATGTTTGATTGGATTTGTTTCCTGCATTCAATAAGCAAGGAACCAGATCGTAACTTTTTGATTTCCTTCACCTCTCCGGCTAAACCTTCAATGCCCTTTGCAACGGCAAAGGGATTCAACTTTATAGAACCACCATCAGGGGCACACATAACGACAAAACGAGGCCAATTTTCAGTGTTGGTGATAGTTGTTTGAGCTTCATCCTCTGAAGACAACGAATCGTCAGATTCGTGTGAGCGTTTTTAGTGGGGAAGCCATGGTTGAAATATATGTGGTTCACCCTTCTAGCTCCCCACCCACCATGGAGTGTCAACAAGGACGGTGTCTTATGTCTGTGGGTCTCCAACAGACGACACCAGGGATACCAGGAGGGTATACTCAAGTAGGAAAATCTTGCAAAGACGTGTCCTACCAGATTGGCCCATGAGCCACCGCCTTCTGGCATAGGACTCTAGGCAAGGTAACAAATGAGTAATTTTGTGTTGTCAACCATCATTAATAACCAAGACCAATATCGATACATGTCAGAAAAATCAAATTTGTCCAAAATACATACTAGCACAGGGGCTTGGCGTGACCAGCCGATTGATAGAACCGGGCCAGTTCTACCACCCGTCTAGGTGAAGTAAGGGGCGAAGTGGTGTGTTGGGCAAAGGAACGCTATTCCTGGAACCAGTGCCCTCAACCACCAGACTCCCTTCCTCCCATCGACACAGGGCGCAACCCACAGCAAACGGGTTGGTGGACCAAATATACCCCCTGGTCGACAACGGGGGTTGAAGAGCGCTTAGCGTTACTCAGCACCCACCACGAGGAGGTGGCTCTTCACGGGTGCCAGCTGATCTCAGAACATGTCCTAGGATCTGTACATTTACCAATCATAATGTAAACCAGGAATTTTGCGATAAGGTTAATGGACAGTTAATGGACATATGCATTTTATCCGGAAGTATTTAAACTATATATAAAAGTGGGTAAGTACATGTCTTCATGCCAGCGATACCGAGAAGATGATAATTTTCACCGTTTCCAGCCAAGGCCTTTGCTGCTAGAACATCACTGTTATGACTATCATATATTATCACATCTTTCCTCTGCTGTTGTAGCTCACTGACTATAAGTGTTGTATTGCTATTCTCCAGCTTGTTGCCATAGTAAGTGTTTGTAGACATCTGTATTTGATTGCATACCTAACGCTATGATATATTCCAATTATACTTTGTATAACATTTCTTTGTTGTTTTCCAATTTCACTCAGCATTCTGTTGCCTACAGATGTTTTAGTAAGTAGACATGTCAAAGTCGATGAGAAGATTTGCCAAAAGCCAGTCATATCTTGTCCCACCAATGGCCCCTGTCACAAACACATGGAACTTAGACATGC